CATGTCCTCGAGCAGCGCCAGGGGTGCAAGTAGAACTGTGCCTGGGTGGCCGGGAGAACGTTGCCCTTGTCCTCGGCCGCCGTGCCCAGCCGCCGCCGCTGCTCGCCGCTGCCGCCGCGAAGGTCTCGGAAGTGGCTGCAAAGTCTCGAGGTCGACGGACTGGTCCTCCTTGCGGTCTCTGACTCTGCCCTTTCGCCGTGGGAAGGTGCGTGGGAAGGTGCATTGGGAGGGTCCCCTCCTCGAGCTGCAGAGCCGAGCGAAGTCACAGCCGGTGTTTCCATGGATGAACGTGCCGTCCGGGTTCTCGGAGGCCTGAAGGCTGCCAAAGTCGAAGTGGAAACGGAAGAAGCAGAGGACGTCGAAGAAGAACGTGTCGTACTCATAAACCCAGGTGCCGCTCTCAGCTTCCTGCCGCGTAGGTGCGGTATAATCGTAGAAGAAGGTTGAGCCACAGGTGTAGCACAGCCAGCTGTTCGGTCCATCCTGTCCATACGAAGTGCCATCGCACCTGAGACATCGCCAAGAGGGTTTTTCTGGAAAGTCGGGCTCATACTCGAAGGGCCCTGGATCTCGATCACCGAAATCGGCGGGGTCAAGTCCTGGCGGCCACGAGTGTTCAACCGTCTCTTCCACAAGAACTTGCTCAAAGAACTGTGCAAACACAAGTCAGCGAAGGGCGCCCATTTTCCTGCAACTGCAAAGAATGCAAAAGGCTCAGCGGCCGTTCTACGAAGGAGTGAGCCAAAACGTTCCGGGGAAGCGCGCTTACACGCTCATGCCTTGAACTTTCACACATCCAACTTTAGTTTCAATTCATGGCCTACATCTCGGAGAGGAGCTCAGTATGATCTATGATTTTGGAAGATACCATCACCTGGGTTGGGGGCGCGCAGATGAAATTCTTCTACTCCACCTTTGCCATACTACGGTCCCTGATAGGATGAAGAACGCAGCATGAGGAGCTTACGTCTTGACTCTTGACAGTTGCTGAAAAGGACTCTAGCTTGAGCGGTGCTGCTGATCTGAGCACATCCAGTCAGGGGCATGGCCCCCATTGCCAGTCTGAATATCCTTCTACAACTGCTGCTGCTACTAGTGCTTCTTCTCCTACTGGTGCTGCTGGTGCTACTACTGTTCTTTTGCCATGAACATCAAGCAAGTCTAAGACGGATCATACCGTTACAAATGTCATGGCGCTAGAATTTGGAAGCACGTCAAACACATGTCTGAAGTTTGAGTGTAGGCCTTGTACTCATCACGGCCAGCGACCGTGGCAGGAGCGGCTTCTGAGCACGTCTTCTTCCCGCGAGGCACTGGAGAGGGGTACCTCGGAAAGGTTGGATTTGGTTGTTGAGCTTCGGGTGACTCATGAATGAGCAACTGATTCTTGCCACGGCAACGAAAGCAGCTGCAAGAGGACCTAGTTAAGTTCAGCATTCAATGACCGCAGTCTGCACAAAATGTTGGCCGACTTTTTGCCATTGCGGTTGTTATGGACGTCATTTCCGTGCGTCTACGTTTTGGGGGATTACAGCACTCTGCAATCTAGGGACGTCAGCGACACTGCGCTGTTCGCCTCGGAGTCCTTGGGCTGCGGAGCTCTAGAATGGTATTATACTGAAATGAACCTGTGGCGAAAATGCGGTACGCTGTGTCTCAAATTGGTGTGGTCAAGATAGGATGCGAATCTAAGTCCTTCAAGCCTGTTTGCGCACAACAAAAACCATCACCACAGGGCTTAATCCTAGCACTAGATTAATTTGTGGGCCCCCCCTTGCCAGAATAAGGAATGAGGGGCGCCAGATTCAAGGAAAATCATGCTTCATTTATTGAGAGCTCCTGGGCCTCTATTAAAAAGTGAAAAGGATTCTAGTGACTCTCTATCAAAACTCCAAGAGACAATCATCCAAGCCATTGGGGCTCTTGGACCTGTATTACTTAAGAAGTTTATAGGCATGTATTGAATCTCTATTATCAGGATGGCTTCCCCAAAGCATTGTTCAAATGTGGTTCATTCTCCCAATATGAAAAACACCTAATTGAAAGTAGTGTTTGGAGCCTAATTCTACCAAAAACACCTTAATATGGTCCATTTAATTCATCTAGTGCTCAGATTACATCGAGATGTCTACAATCTACCACTTACTCAAGTCCAATTATATTTGTCGGCTTTGCCTTCAAGAACACCTCCCTCGGTCAAAGAAATTAACGGTGCAGACCTTTGGTGTATTGTGTGACATTAACCAATGCTCATCTTATCATCACTACCTGCACCAACATCCACAGGTCTCTTCTGAAATCCTGCCGTTGCTGCACATCCTGCTAGAAGATTCCTGATAGACATGCTTGAGAAATTGCTTGCTGGCGCCTTACTGAGTTTAGTTACAAGCGAAAATCATGACAATGGTAGGTCACAAACCCACACGTTGACGTGTGATCAGCCAGGACTCTGACTCTATGAAGCATGTGCAGTGAGCGCCGCTTGGCTGCGCCCTCATTTGGAATCCTATTGGAATCCTCTTATCATCCCTTCGATCCCCAGGATCTTGGATCGTGGCGAACTGAGGAATGCCTTTGTGTGCTAGCTGCGCGAATTCTGATGCGAAGGTAACCTATTTTGATGGTTGCCCAGAACTACAGGACGGCCCTCGGCTCCCAGGCATTTCTGTTCAGTGGAGAGTCAAAGTTCTTGCCGTTGCAGGCCGAGATGGCAGCCTGTTTCTCGTCGTTCGATTTTCCAAAAACCTTGGTCTATCGCTGGTTGGCGGCGCTTTCAAGTCAAGACACGCAAAGCCATAATACATTGCAATCCAGTAACATCCAACAAGCACTTCAGGTGCAGCAACGCCTTCCACTCGTTCTTGATGGCGGCCTCCCACGAAGCTTCAGCTTTCTGGCAGCAAGCCAAGCTCCGAAGAGCCCGGCCAAACAGCCGATATCATAAACTGCAGCGCTACCAGCAGCCACATCGTCTACAGCTCAATTTGAGTAGCAGCATTAACAGCCACATACATCTGAAGGAGAAACGGCACGACAGCTTGACAAAACAGCTGCGACAACAACAGTATCGGGAGTAGCAGCAGTGGTGGCAACCGCCACAGCGGCTTCCGAGTCTGTAAGCTCAGGAAACGCACCAGAGCAAATCACACTGGAACCTCCTGCGTGGCCACAGACGTTTTGTCATTGTTGTAGGAGGACGTTGCCGCTGTGTAGCAGTCGTCGTATTCTTGGCACACCTGATTCGTATCTTGCAGGCTGGGCAACTGCGGTCATTACAAACAGCATGCGGCAGCTCTGATAAGCTTCGCTGTGAAGAACAAGTTGCTGGATTCACAAGCACGCATCAACTGCCTACCTCTCCATGACCCAAGGTGCTGGAAAACAGTGAATCACAATAGCTTGTCAGGGAACGGTCTGCGACGTGCTGAGAATTGTGCACGCTGCTGCATCCATCGTGTCCTCTCTGGGGCAGGCTTGCAGAGGGTCACATAAATGTCGATTTTCTGCTTCTCAGTGGCTGCTACCTGCTACCACTTCCATTACTACCAGCGCCGTCTCCTCCTACGGCTGTTCCCACACACGCTGCTGCTACTGCAAGCACTGCGAGGCGGAGGAGGAGGAGGAGTAGTAGTACTACTACTGCGGATATTAATGTAACTACTGTAACTACTGCGACAACGACTAGCGGGACGACGACAACGACTGCTGCCGGGCCCCACCACCACCGCCGCCGCCGCCACCGACACCACCACTTCAACTTCCAACGATGACAGAATCAGCGCCTACAATAGCCTCCACCTCAATGAGTCAGTAGAGGCGCGTCGTTCAGTTCACATGGAGGCTTTACTTGTAGCTGATTTTGAAGATCTCAGCGGCTAATACTGCCACAGGGTTTTCTGACGCTATCTTACAGCATGAGCGCGACGTGACCGTCGTCTATTTAGTGCCAGAACTGATCCAAGTCTGCTGACGCCTCCACCCGCCTAATCAGTACCAACCCAGATCCTGCTGCGAATCGCAGGCGGTCTTCCTGGGCAAGAATTTGCAAAGGATTGCACTAACTTCGTCGTTGATGCTGCTACATGCTATTTCAATCCTGCTAGTTGTAGAGTCATGATGGTCAAACTTTGCCACATAACCCGTTTTTTGCACAGTGCGGTGTGCTTTTTAGCTGGCCACTTGACCCAGAGAACAGCACCCTGACTGAATGCCCTTAGATAATACTGATTCAGCGTTTCTCATCAATCCCCATGAAAACAAGAAGACGTTCCCAGAATCATGATTCATTCCTGTGGTGGGGGCTACCAGTCTCCTGTTTCGTGACGGGATGGATGTTCAGGAACACAAGCTAGTCAACCTTGGTAACCTTGGCAACCTGAATGCCGCCAAAGCGACTTCTTGGTCCAGGTAGACTTCAAGTCTGCGCATACTTTGGCTTTGGTGGCATGCTCGTCCTAGGATGGCGGTTTTCTACCCTCCCCAAGCTTGCATGGAATCCAAATAGAATCCCGTTTACATGCGGGGCCCCCTTCGGGGTTCCATGTTAATTCGAGGCAAAAGAAGACTATGCAGGAGCGTTGCGCTCGGAGACACAAAGAGTCAGGCAGCCAATCAAGAACTCCATTGACCACTTGTCAACATGAAGGTCCACCATCAGGAGCTCATCATTGTGTGAAGTTCTCATCTGAAGTTGCGCATGGTGCCGTGCAAGCGGAGCTGCCCTGAGAGCTCTCACCCTTTCACAAGTTGAGCTGCCAAAAAAGTTGTTGACTGCCAGAGCATTGCAGAATGCTTTCTCACCCGAAGGCCCAAGGTCTTCGTTAAGGACTGCCCCAGAGTGGCCCATGATGCAGAGGTGCTGTAGTTATCTTCGGAATCCTACACTTGCTTGCTACAGCAAGCTTTTAGTATGCTGTTGATTTGCCTGTGGCTCCAAGAGCAAACTTCAAAAATGGCTGCATCATGCCGACCAGCCCCCACCCTAGAAATTGAGCTCCACATCATGTCCCAAAAATTTCCAGGTAAGAAGCCGTGGCTTTCTTGCAGGCCTCCTCGGCTGCGATACCCTTCTTCTCTTCGGCCTCATAGAATTCCTTCAGCCTCAAAGCAATCATCGCTGCAGCAATGCGACCCAACTAAGAGTTACAACAAAAACAGGGTGGTCACAGCAAAAAACGACAGCTGGTGCGAGTCTGCGTGATTATGCTGGGGGTTCCTGGCAACGCCACATGTACCGAGGTCCGCCGGACATGATACCGTGCTTCATGTACCTGCTGTCAACGTGAGTAAGCTCATGAGCCTAACCGGCTGAACTGGAAAAGAAACTTGGAATTGACAACCCAGTTACCGAACCTGAACCGAGCAATAGCTAGAACACAATCCGATGCTGCTGCTGCTGCTGCTGCACCGTCTCTCAGCTCGTGATTTTGGAGGGCTCCAGGCCCAAAAGCTGTGAAATGGCAGGCCGCTTTAATGTATGAATATACCCTTCTAACAGCACTTGCAATCAAATACATTTGAACGCCGTTTCAACCCCGGGCTCGGTGGAGGGTTTTTTTTTTTCCAAGGTTTGGCTCAACCCCCCCCTCTCGTTTCCTTGTAACTGTCATCATTTTTGGATTCTTAGATACGAAAAGTGTCAACTGTCACAGGGATCGCGGGGGTCACGGTTGCCATCCTCGTAACTGTCGACGTATTTGGAGTCTCACACGTTCTTGGAAATTCAAAAGTGTCGACTGTCACGAGCAGGAAACCAC